ATGGGTACAAAAAAATAAAATGAGTAAGACCTACTATATGCTCTATACGATAGCACAACAGGGTGACTACAGTCAAATAATAAGCCCCTGCATTTTAAAATAAAGAGTATAATTGAATTATTTTTAACTAAAAAAAAAATAAAAATACTTTCATATCTACTTATTTATAAAACAAATTTATTTCCATACTTTGCAGAGTACAGGTGGTTTTTGATTACATGGATAAGTTCTTAGCGGTGATTTATGAGATTCTGGTGTACCCTGAGCACTGTATACTGTGCCCAATGTGTACTCTTTTATTCCACAACCCTCCCCCCTTACCCCCAAATCCCCAAAAGTTCATTATATCATTCTTGCCTTTGCATCCTCATAGTTTAGCTCCCACTTATAAATTAGAACACATGATACTTGGTTTTCCATTCCTGAGTTACTTCACTTATAATGGTCTCCAATTCCATCCAAGTTGCTGCAAATGTCATTATTATTTTTTTAAATGGCTGAGTAATATTTCATGGTGTATATATATACCACGTTTCCTTTACCCACTCATTGGTTAATGGACCTTTGGATTGGTTCCTCATTTTTGTAACTGCAAATTGTGTTGCTATAAACATGAGTATGCAAATGTCTTTTTCACATAATGACTTATTTTCCTTTGGTAGATGCCCAGTAGTGGAATTGCTGGATTGAATGGTAGTTCTACTTTTAGTTCTTTTAGGAATCTCCATACTGTTTTCCATACTGGTTGTACTAGTTTACATTCCCACCATCAGGGTAAAGGTGTTTCCTTTTCACCTTTTCACCTAAAGATGTTTCCTATTCATTTTCACCTAAAGATGTTTCACATCCACACCAACATCTATTACTTTTTGATTTTTAAATTAGGGCCACTTTTGCAGGAGTAAAGTGGTACTTCATTGTGGTTTTAATTTGCATTTATAGTTAGCGATGCTGAGCATTTTTTCATGTTTGTTGGCCATTTGTCACACACATGTACTTCTTTGTAAATGGCCGAGGCAATATGTTATAGAAAGATTAAATAGAGCTTGACTATTTTGCCTCTGGAAGAAAAGCTCATAATGTAACACTATCTCCAACCCTAAATAGAGTTTTGATGAGGTCAGAGTTAAAGCAGACATTCTCTTTCCATGGAAGAGTAAACAGATGGAAAGAACAGGGAAGATTCATTTGGCATAAAACCATCTCTTGATCACCATTCCTTACACGGTACACATCCCCCTAGATAAGCTGAATTACTGGATTCTCTGGAAATTATCAGATTCCCTAGAAATCTTCTCCCCCCAACATGTTAACAGAAAATCAGGAGGAAGGCATATTTTTCATTTTATAGAAATGTACTTCTTGTAGTTCTTGTTTTTGAGTTGTTTGATAGGTCAGTAAGTCCTTCCAAGCCCCTAAATTAAAGAAGTTGTCAGTCTTTTCAGCAATATTGCATGAGCAATTTGAAAGTATTATTGCATCATGCAAATAAACTCCATTAGTATTTTAATTACCGAAAAGGTCTGCCTTTTTTTTTCCAAGAATGAGTAACTACTTAGAGAGACTTACCCAAGAGATTAAGGCAGCATCTGGTTCTAAAAACTTGGGCCTCAACATATCAAATTTAAATATCTGAAATAAACTATTGGGAACTCCCAATTTCTCTGATTTTAGGTAAAGCAAACAAATGTAGTTCTACATTTTCATTCTGAACCGTAAACGCTCTCTATGCATACTCTTTATGCTGAAAATAATCATATTATTTTCCCAGAATCTATACAACCTCATCAGTAACCTTCACAAATAAAACAGAAGATTAATTCTTGAGCTGACTATATTAACGATTTCAGTTCCTCTGTAACACTGGGAGACTGAGGGAATAATTCAAATATTTATGGCTCTATTGATAGAGAAAAAGGAATGATGCCCTTCAGAGAAAGCAAGTCACTGGGATGGTATCACTTCACATGATAGCCTTTTACATACTTATAGTATCAAGGTAAAGCAATTCATTAGCCTATTACATTTTTGCCAGTCTTTCCTGAAAGAACCAGTATGCAATCAAGTGAACAAGAGACGCCTGAAGGAATGCAGCATTCTGCTGTAACTTGGAAGTAAAATTCTTGAAAAAAATTAAGATTCCAGGTTCAATTCAACAATCAACTACTAGTATCTTCCTATTTTTTTCTCTCTGCAAATTATTTTATGTCAATTTCTTAGTAACAAACAGGCAAAACTTGTCAAAATCTCATTTATGTCCAAGACTAGAACTTCTCAAGTAGTTTCTCCCAAAAACTTTCCCCCTTACCCTCCCCCACTCCTCCTCTAGGAAGGCAGCACAAGACTTGAGGTCCTGGAGGAAGAGCAACCAGCAGTAGTACCTTACATAACTTGTCACTTGTCAGGCTTTCTTTATTTACTGTTCCCAAAATAGGTGTGCAGATCATCAATGGGATGAAGAGATGAATTTAAGCGGCTCACAGATACACTTACTTTTTTTTTTTTTTTTTTTTGGAGACGGAGTTTTGCTCTTGTCGCCCAGACTGGAGTGCATGGAGTGCAATGGTGCAGTTTTGGCTCACTGCAACCTCCGCCTCCTGGGTTCAAGCAATTCTCATGCCTCAGCCTCCTGAGTAGCTGGGATTACAGGCACCTGCCACCACGCACAGCTAATTTTTGTATTTTTGGTGGAGATGGGGCTTCACCATGTTGGCCAGGTTGGTCTCAAACTCCTGACCTCAGGTGATCCACCAGCCTTGGCCTCCCAAAATGCTGGGATTACAGGCATGAGCCACCATGCCCAGCCGTAGATACACTTACTCTTAATATAAAAATGTATATTAGAAAAATAAACAACTAGCAGCTGGGCACACTGGCTCACACCTGTAATCCCAGCATTTTGGGAGGCCAAGGCTGAGGGATCATGAGGTCAGGAGTTCAAGACCAGCCTGGCCAAGATGGTGAAACCCCATCTCTACTTAAAATACAAAAATTAGCCAGGCATGGTGGTGGGCACCTGTAATCCCAGCTACTCAGGAGGTTGAGGCAGATAATTGCTTGAACCTGGGAGGTGGAGGTTGCAGTGAGTCAAGACCATGCCAATGCGCTCCAGCCTGGGTGACAGAGTGAGACCCTTTCTCAAAAAAAAAGAGAAACTAGCTTATAAAACCCATGATTTTAAGTGGGGATGATTTTAACCCATGATTTTAAGATGAGGATAAGTAAAATGATGACTTGATGTAAAGTTGACTAAAAGAAATAGTACTTCATAGTAAAGTGGTACAAAGCCACCAAATTCACACAGGGCTATGTAACTGGAGACATTTAGGAAGCTTCTGATGCTACCATTATCTCTGCTCCTGTGCCAACCTCATACAGTATCCTCAGTGACATTTGTGCCTTCTATTGCTTCCTCTCAGCTAGATATTTTTGTCAGTAGCTAACCCTACCTACATTTTTCTAATCTTTAAACAAACAAAGACCCTCTCTCACTTTCCTTTCAGCTACAGCTCTTTCTCTTTCCACTCTCTGAATCTTAGACATTTAGCTACCACTGCTGGCTGGCTGTATATTCACACCTCCCTCTCACTTCTCAATACACTCAACTCAGGTACCCTCCCCACAACCACCATCCCCAGTATATAACCTACCTGATGATAAACCCAAGGAAAACTTCAATCATTATCTCACTTTATCTTTCAGGGGCATACAACAGAGTTGACCACCAAACTATCTGCCATTTGCCAAGGTATTACGGTTTTCCTTCTTCTCTGGTATGTTTTATTTTGTTTTGTTCTTTTTTTTAGTTTCCTCTGTTGGCTCCTTTTTCCTAAATAAGACTATGAATGCCAGAATTCTTCAAGGTCATTCCTCAGGCTCACTGCCCTTCTCATTGCACACAATCTCCCTAGGTAACCTCATTCTCTCTCCCAGCTTCAACTATTGTCCATATGTTGATGATTCTCAAATCCATGTCTCCAGTTCAGTCTCCTCTCTGAGCTCCTGACTTGTTTATTTAGCCAACTTGGGTGTTCTACAGGAATCTCAATGACAACGTGACCCAAATGGAGCTTACTCACTTTTCCCTATGTTCATGTTATAGATGAAGAAGAGCATCCAACCTTGCTGCCCAAGCCAGAGACATATTCCTTGACTTCTGTCCTGAAATGTGCCCACCCCATAAGTCTCCACTCCCACCTCCCCAGTATACAGGCAGACTTCTCACCACCTTACTATCACATCGATAGAAGCCACTACCATCCCTTGCCTAATCAACTACCACTGGCCTCAGAACTGGTCCCATTCCCGCTATCATCTTCATAGCACATGAAGTTAGCCTCTACATCATCTTAGAATAGCACCCAACAGCCTAGTATGTATAACAAGGACCCACACAGCTGGTTCCCTAGTGCTGCATTCTAGTCACATAAAGAACATTCCAGTTCTTCAAAATCTCCAATATTTTCTTGCCTTTGGATCTCTACACATACCTGGGACACTCTCTTCCCCAATCCTGGACTCATAGCCATTCCTGTGTTAGGTCTCAGTTTAGACACCACTGTGGCCTTCTCTATCACATCACCCACCACCCTTCATTGTAACTCTATTCAGTGTCTGCCTTCCTCTTTCCACTGCACATTCCATGAGTGCAGTGACCACACATGTCTCACTCATCACTGCATTTCCAAGAACTGGCATCGTTCTTGGCTCAGTGATTGACACTCAATAAACATTTACTGAATCAGAAATGAATAAATAGCTATTCAGCCACCAAAAGAAAATGAGGTATCTGTTGGCCCTTAAAGCAAAACTGTCTGAAACAGCAAAAATACCAATTGCACTTGAGTAGAGCAAATATTGTTCTGGTTTCCAACTACCTAAAGAATGCTATGCAAATGGCAGTGAGACTCTACCAGTTTTCAGCATCAAGTAAAAACACTTTCTTCTGAGGTAACTGAATGGTTTCCTGCCTTACAAGTAAACTGTCACCCAACAGTTACCTTGCTTACTTCCTTCAAGGCCCTTTTGCAGACTTCGTACTTCGGAGAGTCCTTAGGTGTTTTTTGACAGATAGTCTGTAATGAAGTAAAAGTGAACAAAATTAATTGATTTATTTTATTAAGTAAATTAAACCAATGTCCAGCCACATCCTCTTACTCACAGCAAAGCTAATGCCGAACACAGCATTATGGATGAGTATGACGGTAATATTAAAATCCTATTTAGAAACCAGGAAATAATCTTCAAACACAGGATCCAAGTCCATCCAGGGAATGGTTAAGAAGACAGAATTCAGAGATGGGCAAACCTGGTTTCAAATCTCAGGTCTGCCCCTTACTAATTATCCAACCTTGGGCAAGTCACCAACTCTGTCTTTATAAGCCTCTCTTTCCTCCTTTGTAAAACTAGGGTGATGCCAAATATATCACTAGGTTGTTGCAAGCGTTAATGATAATTTATGTAAAGTTCTTTATGAGTGCCTGGCATACAGTATGCCCTCAATACATAAGAATTACTTTAATTATCACCATTATAATCATTATTATTAGAGGCAATTATATTTATAGAGGATGCATTATGAATAAAAAGAACACATGACGTCTGTAATTCCAGGACTTTGGGAGGCCAAGGCGGGCAGACTGCTTGAGTCCAGGAGTTCAAGACCAGCCAGGGCAACATGGAAAGACTCAGACCAGCCAGGGCAACATGGAAAGCCCTCAATACATAAGTGTTACTTTAATTATCACCATTATAATCATTATTATTAGAGGCAATTCTATTTATAGAGGATACATTATGACTTAAAAAGAACAGCTGGGCACAGCTGTTCATGACGTCTGTAATCCCAGGACTTTGGGAGGCCAAGGCGGGCAAACTGCTTGAGTCCAGGAGTTCAAGACCAGCCAGGGCAACATGAAAAGACTCCCCAAAAAATTAGCCAAGAATGGTGGCGTGCACCTGTGGTCCCAGCTATTCAGGAAGCTAAGGTGGGAGGGTCACTTGAGCCTGGGAGGTGGAGGCTGCAGTGAGCCGAGATTGTACCACTGCACTCCTGGGCAACAGTCTCAAAGAAAAAATAACAACAACAACAAAAACAAAATCAGCAAGGGGAAAAAAAGCCTGTTAGGTTTTTGGTTGATATATTTAAACTGAGAAATTTCATTTGTGATAGTAAAATCAGGTTCAAACAGGGTCAATTCATGGTAAATTTGATTACATATAATTTTAAAGCTATACACACACATTCAAAGCCTAGGGAACCACTTAATTGTTGAAAGTATTTATTTCAATTAACAAGCTTAACTGAATTTCCAGTGAGGTAAAATTGGAAAGACATCATTTTAAGTACATTTATATTCTGCCTAAGTGGCTAGATTGCCACACACGAGAAACAGATTAAGGCAATAGCAACCAGGCAGAGGTAGAAAGTAGTTGGCTATTGGCAAATCACTGGGTCCTGGTCCCTTATGTAGAGAAGCACCAGGCCAAGATATCTGAAAGTCAGGCGTGTAGATTTTTAACTATGTGCTATGTGAGAAACACAGAGGGCCTCATCTGTGGGGGTTCTTATATTTTTTGACTATGACCCACTGTAAGAATACTTTTACACTGCAAGAAGCACATAGGCACACATAAATGAACCAGGATTTCGTGAAACGTTTAACCACTTTATGAGCAATGTGCGTATACTCATAATTCAAAAATCAGTTTTATGACCCATGAATGGGTATGAAAGCAGCATGAAAATACCAGTTTATAGCCCTGAGAGAAGGCATCCTTAGCTGGAGTCCATATATTGACATTTTATGTAAAACTTTGTGCATACACACATTCTCTGGGAAGAAAAGCTATATATAGTTTTACCCAGAATCTCAAAGGGGTCTGCGGATCAAAAAAAGTTTAAAGCCTACTGAGCAATCACGGAATGAATCTCCAACACTGTATAATATAATGTGTTAGATTGTGGAGTCCCATTCTATACAAGTAATTTTCTCAAAATTAAAGAGGATATAAAAGGCTTGAAGATCACAGTACATAGAAAATCTGGAAAACATGTTTAAAATGCATTTTATTTATTTTTGTTTTTTTTAATTCCATTTCTCAAAGAGGAATAAAGTGCATTTCCAGAAGAAGAAAAAGACAACCTAAAAATTCAAAAGTCTAACATTACAATAAATGTTATATTTACAAGGAATTCATGTTTAAAAAAAATAGTAATGTTTGAAATAATATTTCCTTATATGGACCAAGATTCCTTCTTAAGCCAAAATTTGATTTAGATAACTCAGCTGCATTCTATCATTAGACATGATAAATATTGATCTCAAAAAAATCAGAAAGTGAAATGTTCAAAACTTCAAGCTTCCCAATATGTGCACAGGAGGGATGTTCCTGAATTACAGGTGATAGGTGGAGAAGGTGTGAAGGCAGTAGATCAAGGTGAACTTGAGGAGCACAACATGCTGTGAGTTCTGAAATATCTGACAAAACCTCTCCAAAACTGCAGCAGTCAACTAAATGCTCACGGTCCCACACTTTTACACATTTCAAAATTTCAGAATTTTAAAAGAATATATTTTAGAATTTACAATGGGATACAGAAGGTGAAATTTACTCTGTAACCTTAATCATAATTTTTAATATATATTTTACTTTGTTTTGATTAGTAAAAATCAGGTATGTAAAAAGTTGACCTTATATCAACATTGTGATCCCATTTTAAAGTAGGATTGTAACAAAATATTTTCTAATTGGATCAAAAAGACACTCTGTGGTCCACTGCTGGAATGGGACCTCTGTCGAGCCACCCCATTTTTCTCTTTTGCTGCCTCAGCAGCTCCAGTGCAGCCAGTGGCAGGTCCTCCTGCCCATGGCCTACCTGTCTTTCCAGCTGCACGTACTACTAAGCAGGCTACTCACTTGCCCCAGTCATGTCTTGTCATTATTCAAAGTCAAATACTTGTTTTCTTCATGAATGCTGCCTAACACAAGAAGGATGCTGGGCTTTCCTCACTCACTTTGCATAATGCATAATACAAGCAATACTATGCTTTGCCATGGTGAAGAAACTCTCATTTCTGTAAGAAATGGAAGCCTCAGGGTACCTTGGAATATTATAGATGTAGGATCTCAATGATCAGTCTGAGGAAGCTTAGGCCCAAAGAAACTGAGTTGCTCAAGGTCACATGCCTAATGGCTTAGCTAGAACTGGAATCCAGGCCTCTTGACTTAAGCCACAACTCTTCCTATTTCAAAAAAAGTTGAGTAAGTGAGCGATGAGATCCAATTTCTTTAGAATGACCGCGGAAGACTAAATGAAAGATAATTTCCAGAGCTATCAGATACAGGTGAGACTTTCCAAACAAACAACACCTTCTCACTTGATTGGGGGATTTTTAGACCTTTAAATATGTATCAATTTAAGTGGAATAAGAATAATTTTCTTAATCAGATTTATAGAAGCACAGCTATAAACAGAGAAAAAAGCCACCGTCATGTCTTACATCCATCAGCAGCGGAAGGCGGGTCACCCTCTGCATGGGGAGAATGAGAAAAGAGATCATGGGTAAGTTCCTACAGGCTTCATGGGACTCAATCCTTGACAATACTTCCTTAAAGGATGGATTGGTAGCTCTGAGGGAAAACAAAGAAAAGAGAAACTTTAAAATATTTCCTCCTCAAATTAAGGAGCAAATAAAAAGGTACTACAAAATACTGTGATAAATACATATAGCATCAACTATTTAAAAATACATGAAAACATCCTAAACATATAATTACACAGGCAAATACAAATGGCTTGTCTGCCTTTTATATTCAAGGCTGAATATAATAAGATATGGATTTCACTGAACAGTATTAACAATAAGGCAAAACATGTATGCGTTAGAAACTTACAGAAGTGGAAGGTAAGCAAATGAAGAAGCCATGGTATCATAATGGTGAGCATATGGGTCATAAATCATACAGACTAGGCCTTCTATCTGATCATCTATAAACACATATCATTAATAAGATCATAAATAATATTTTAAGCCACTTCTCCGGCCCTAGACAATGATATAAGAAACTATCAGTTAGATTGGACTTCAGAGGCTTTAGGCCACAAAGATCCTCTTCTTGAGACAGAAACTTTTTGACATGTCAAAATATTCCTCTTTTTCTCATGTTAATGTAAGAAAAGTATTAATGCTGCTGTAACATTTTAATGAAACTTAGTGAGATTCTGTGACATATACTGTATTCTTTCATGTGGAACCACCAACATAACTTTTAAGGAAGACCAGAAAGGGATTCCAGTAAGAGAATGGAACGCACAAAGGTGCCTAGCGCACTGAGTAAATATGACTTAGTAACTGGTAAGACAGAAGTCAAACCCAGGTTTTCTTTTTTTGAGATGGGAGTCTCACTGTCACCTAGGCTGGAGTGCAGTGGTGTGTGGTGCGATCTCAGCTCACTGCAGCTTTTGCTTCCCAGGTTCAGGCAATTCTCTGCCTCAGGCTCACAGCAGCTGGGATTACAGATGTGCGCCAAGACGCTCAGCTAATTTTTGTATTTTTAGTAGAGACGAGGTTTCATCATGTTGGCCAGACTTGTCTCGAACTCTTGGTCCCAAGCGATCCACCCGCCTTGGCCTCCCAAAGTGCTGGGATTACAGGCATAAGTCACCGCACCCGACCTCAAACCTAAGTTTTCTAATGTTAAATCTGATACTCTTGTCCCCTCACTTCTTCATCCTATGAGAAGCTCTGGAGAGTTCCACTGCCACTTTCCAAGGCAAGGAGGGCAGTAGGTTGATGGATATGATACTCCCATGAGGGGAGGAGGAAGCAGAATAGTGGCAATAGCAGTCATATTTTTTTTAAATGTTATTTTGAAAATTAAATAATTTGGTTCAAGGCTGCTACTAAAAGCAGGAGGGGGAGAATGCCAGAATAGCAAATGAAAAAAAATTATACAGAAACATTTCATTTCCACTTTCTCAAGTTGAGAAGTTTTAAGTTTCCTTTTGCTGAAAGCTTTGAGATTTTTCGAAAGTTAAGAAAACAAAACAAAAACAAACTCTAAACTAGTTGCACATGTAAATCACTCAGGTCCCAGTTCCCTCCCTCACCTTCCAAAGCTTCTGATTAAATAGTCTGGGATGGACTCTGGGTTGCTCATTTCCAGGCCCCAAGGCATTTCTTACAGGCAGCTAGAATTGAAAGGCACTGTTCTAACCTCAGATTCACATCAACTGCAACAAAGGCCCTGAAAACACAACTACTAATTCCCATGTGAAAGTGCAGATGATGTTATCATTACAATCATTAAGATAAGAACCTTTAAGAGTCACATGATGTATAGCAGTACCTACTGATCTTTTTTAACTCCTGCAAAACAAAATGAAACCCAAATTTATCTCTAATTCAAGACTTTGTTTTCAGATATGAATTTGCATTCTCTAACAGTTACAGAGCAACCTCTGTGGAGAGGGAAAGTGATGGGTGTGGTTTTACCCTCAGGGGACCTGTTGCAATATCTGGAGACATTTTTGGCATCTGGCGGATAGAAGCCAGGGATGCCCTTAAGCATTCTACAATGCACAGGACAGCCCACCACAAAGACTTATCCAGTCCAAAATGTCAATTCTGTGAACAAACCCTGCTTTATACTAAAAATCTCATTTGGGTTTGGCAGCTGTGTTTTCCACCCTGGCTATATGAAAATGTCGTGAAGATGTGGAGAAGAAAGGGGGCCATCATCAGCCCCTCTTACCAGCTTGGAGGCTTTGACTATTTCTCCAAGCAGCCGTAAGTTAGTCACCCTCAACCCCTTCTCCTCCATAAGGGTTTCACATATTTGCACAGAAGTTGACTAAAGCTTCATGCTATGGTCATAAATGCCACACCTCACAGAAGGGGGTGAGAACAATAACAGCCATTAAGCTCCCAAACTGGGTTTACAGCAGTGTACAACTGTGCTGTAACAGATACTTGTGATAAACAGGACCCTTTAAAAGACATATAGGCGTTACTGAACAATTGCTGACTCTCTTGAGGACACAGAGGACATACGTATCACATCAAAACTCTCAGTAATCTAAAAAGGACAAAAAGAAAAGATGTGATGGGAAATCTAATGTTTGAGCCTTTTCCTGCACAACTGAAATTTTCAAGAACATTATTTTTTTCTATTGCTTTCCTTCAGAGCTTCCTTCTCCTCAACTCTAACTACCCCGGGGGGGGGGCAATAATCAGCAATTTTTATTAAAAAATTTATTATCATTGTCAGTTGAATGGAGAGAGATTAGAATAGTAGAGAAAACCCTGAATCTTAGCTTCTGCTCAATCTACTCAAGAATCCACTCTAGGTCTCAGGAAAGCCACTTTTTGCCAGTTAAAAGCTTAGAAGACTGTGGGTTTGGAGTGAGGACCACCTCTGTGTTTTGCAGCAATTAAAAACAAACAAACAAACAATAAAAAGGACAACACCAATAACAAATTATCATTTTAAAAGAGAAAATTCTCTACACACTAATCTTTCTACTTAAACACCCTCACCCTAAAAGTCATGCTCTTAAATATTTCTCTTCTGGGAAATAGCCTATCAGGAGGCATTTCCAAATATAATTCAAATGATCAATTAATTTGTCAATGTAGCCTAATTAAAACTAGGTTAGACTATTAAAACTGTAGCATTCAACACTGCTTACAACAATTTCTGTAGTGTTCGTTGTTGGTAGACTTCATTTGTGCAGTATTTCACATATGGGTCAAATGTGGATGCTGTGTGTTTTTCCACAATGTCACTTATATCATCGATGAAGATATTATTCTGATGTCTTGCTTCCAACTCTATAAAGAACCTGAAAAACCAAAGGGGGGAAAACATTTATGCTTCTTTCATACACTCTAACAGAGATAACAGATAATCCTCATGTAATGCTATTACACGAGGTTTGAAAATTCAACAGTAGAGAGTACCAACTAAAAAATATGTTTAAAAACTATAAAAAGTTTATCTAAGTTTAAATCTATCGTATTAACACACCTTGAGGCTGGGCATTGTGGCTCACACCTACATCCCAGAACTTTGGGAGGCTGAGGCAGGAAGATTACCTGAGGCCAGGAGTTCAAGACAAGACAAAACCAAAAAAACCCAATTTATTGCTTTGAGTGTTTGACTTCAACATTGATAATCAGAGGCATTTCTCTGTATTCAGGTACTTTAGAATAAACATATTTCACTATTTTTCAAGAATTATTTAAATATGGGGAGGAGAGTGAGTTCATGCTTACATATTTTATTATACTGAAAAGTATATGAGCAAAACAACTAAATAAATGGTTAAAAAATAAGTCTGAGGCCGCGTATGGTGGCTCATGCCTGTAATCCCAGCAGTTTGGGAGGCCCAGGTGGGCAGATCACGAGGTCAAGAGATCGAGACCATCCTGGCCAACATGGTGAAACCCCATGTCCACTAAAAATACAAAAAGTAGCTGGCCTGGTGGCATGTCTGTAGTCCTGGTTATTTGGGAGGCTGAGGCAGGAGAATCGCTTGAATCCAGGAGGTGGAGGTTGTAGTGAGCCACTACACTCCAGCCTGGCAAAAGAATGAGACTCCATCTCAAAACAAACAAACAAACAAACAAACAAAAGTCTGAAACAAATCTAATACTATGTTTTTTTCTCTCAAAATAAAAACAATCACATTATTTTAAATCTAATAATACGCATGGTATTTACATTTCTCCCTAATTTATTCAGATTGCAATGGAGGGTCCCCCTTCCCTCCCCTCATTTCCCCTTCCCTTCTTCCTTTCCCTTCCTCCCTCCCCTCTCCTTCTTTCTCTCTCTCTTCTCTTTCTCTCTCTCCTCTCTTCTCTTTCTCTCTTTTTTTCTTTCCTTCTTTCCAAAAGGGCCTCACTCTTGTCACCCAGGCTAGAGTAGAGTTGCATGATATCAGGTCAAGGCAAACTCTGCCTCCTGGAATTAGGCAATTCTCCTGCCTCAGCCTCCTGAGCAGCTGGGATTACAGCCATACCTGGCTAATTTTTGTATTTTTTTAGCAGAGATGGGGTTTCACCATATTGGCCAGGTTAGTCTCAAACTCCTTACCTCAAGTGATCTGCGTGCCTTGGCCTCCCAAAGTGTTGGGATTACAGACGTGAGCACATACCCGGCCAGGGTTACCAGATTTAATGTACAAATAGATAGCAATTTAGGGTCATCTAAATAGGTATACAGATACAAGTGTATATATCTATGCACATACATGTGATATATAATTACATATGTCATATAGATAGCCATTGTTTATCCATTCATTTGCTGATGGAGACGGGTAGTTTCCACTTTTTGGCTACCTGAAATAATGCTGCTATGAACATCTGCATACAAATATCTGTTTGTGTATCTGTTTTCAAGTGTCTGGGTATATATCTATCAGTGGAATTTTAATCACAATGTGCCAATAATAGTATGTGTGTGGGTGTGGCACTGTGGGTATCTGTGTGTGTATTGATGTGTGTGTGTGTGTGTGTGTGTGTGTGTGTGTGTGTGTGTGAAATAGTAGCATACCTGAACCAAAACAGAAGAAGCTGAATTATACATAAAGGAGAGGTTAGTTCACTAAACAAAATTTAGTTAAGAAATGATCCCTTCCCTCCCAACACTCACAGTGGTGTGATGGGAGGCATGCAGCCAATTACAATACAGGATCTATAAAGAGGTATGGTAATAATAAAAATAAATAAGTATTTGTTCTTCATCCTTGGTTCTTGGAACACAGATCCTGAAATGCCTGGAATCTCTACAGTAATAGGATTGTCTTTTGTATGCCAGTGAGATGACTGGTGGCTGGCGATCCTTGGCTACAGCATGGTTCTGGTCACCAGAAAGACCAAGGCATGACTGGAGGGTTGGAACTTTCAGTCACACCTGGCCACCTCCAGTCAGAAGAGAAGAGTTTGAGTTCAATTGCCAAGGAACAATGATTTCATCAATCAAGTCTATATAATGAAACCTCCACAATAACCCTTAACTGATGGGGTTAGGGAGAGATGATGAACACCTTGAGGTGCTGGGAGGGTAACAGGCCCTTGAGAGGGACGAGGAGGTCTGCAATACCTGCACCAACTCCAGCCTTGTCCTGTAACAATCCTTGTATTTGGCTGTTCTTGAGTTGTACCCTATACAATAAACCTGAGTTCTGTGAGCCATTTTAGCAAATTATCAGGGCCTGAAAGAGGGGAACTCCCCCACAACTTTGTAGCCAAGTAGGAGAGAAGTGTGGGTTACCTGGAGACCCAATACTTGCATCTGCCAACTTAAATGAAGGCAGTCTTGCGGGACTGAAACCTTAAAGCTATGGTTTCTGATGCGAACTCAGGGTGGTTAATGTCAGAACTGAAATTTTAGGACTGGAATTGTAGGACACACAATTGGTGTCTTGAGAGTTGAATGATTGGTTGGTATAAAGAAAAAAATCTCACACATTTGGTGTCAGAAAGTGGTGATAAAAATAAAGAGGCCTCTTCAGAAGGAAGAGTGACCACTTTCCTGGTCAACACAGGTGAGGAAACGTGTAAGCTGGATCATCAGTGCCAAGGATGACATGACAGGAGCAGGGGAATGAAGCACAACAGGCAGAGGAAGCAATGTGGGTCTGGTTGGGGAAACTGGGAAGTTCAGTAGAGCTGAGCTATAGACTCCAGGAGGAACAAGGGCATAGGGAGAAGACTGCAGAGCAGGTTTGAGCTCCATTGCAAAGGTTATAGTGCATGCTGGGAAGTTTAGGATTAATCTGAAGACAATAAGAAACCACTGGAGATGTGGAAGCCAATAAATCACTCAATCTGAGAAAACTGGTGCAGAGCAAGGATGGATTACTAGTAGGGAGGGACAGATGACAATCAGGCTGGTTAGGTGGCTAATATGGGCAAGCTGACAATAAAGCCTGGCAATGGGAAATCAAGAGAGGACACAGAGCAGGGAAACAATCTGGAAAGAAAATTAATAGATTCAATAAAGTCATTAGATGTGAAGTCAAGGAAGATGCTGAGATTTCTGGTCAAGGTTTCCACCTGGCTAATAAAGTGTGTTCTTAAACCTTTAACGAAGACAGAGATTTAGGAAGAGGGAGAAGCAGCAGAAAGAGCACCATTTAATTTTGTCTTAGAGATGTGTAATGGACAGCTAAAAATACACATCTGTGAGATTTCAGAGGAACTGGAATTCTAGGTACTATACAGCTAAGACTACTTGATTTCTAGCTGGTTTTCATATAAATGTGGAATATTTGTCATTTAATTCCAACTGTTTTGTAATGCAAATGTAAAGAAAATTGTTGAAAGAAAATTGAAAAAAGAAGAAACCATTCATAACGCCATTATCATATAATTCTAGGATATAACTAGCTTGAGGCAAATATCTCTTACAATTTCTAGTCTTTAGCTTACACTGTTACCAGCCTGAAGGAATGCAACTATGTAACCAAAATCAACAGTAACTTGGCTTTTCTCAATGAAAAGGAAAATTTCATTTATCACTGTAAAAGGTTTGCCAAAGTACAATATTAAAAATAAGGTACCAATTAAATATCTGTTTATGCTACTCACTTCAATATAAACCAAACCACCCCTTTTATTTTTACATTGACATAATTGAGACAGAATTTAAAGCTTTCTATGTTAAATGATCTACTGGTTATTTTGGGAAATTTGCATACTTTACTAAGTGAGGTAGCTATAAAAAGACCAAGAAAATATTACTAAAAAATGAGGAACGATTTCGGGAACCAAGAATGGTGGTGAATCAAATCAAATCCGAAGCAAAAGTAAAAGCATTCTGGCTCCCTGGATGAAATTTGAATGAAATAATTTGGCTTACTAAGAGGACAACTTTTTAATGGAAATACATATTTCAGTTTTATGAATTTTTTCTAGGATAATACTTTCATTATTTCCTCTTTGTAGTATTACCAAGATGTTCATGTTTTATATCAATCATGTTAAACAACTTTTATCTTTTTTCTTCCCCTAAAACTTTTCCAATCTCACCACTAAAGAGAAACCTTCTGTGGACCAGGAAAAGGTGCCTAGAAACATCCTTCCTTACCAGAAACATGAGTTAGCCCTGTTTGACTGTTAATTCACCATCACCAGCAAAATCACACCCATACTTCAAATGAGCGCTTTAAATGATGTAGTCTGCCCAGGGGAGCTTCTCAACTGTGCAGGTAATGGTCCTACCAAAGAGATAAGGTCAACATCCCAGGAGGTTCAGGATGTTTCAACTAAACCCATGTTTGAAAAAAGAGCCTGATATGGAGCTTGCTTATGGTCTGGTAACCTTTCTTCTAATGTTTCTAAAAACTAAAGGGATTGTATATTCTTTAGGCTTTCTGTGGTTGCTTTATTACGCGATGATCTTAAATGTGGCAGTGAATTTTTGAGAAAAAAACAAAACCAACAGTGGGGTAGCCGCTTCTGATACACTCAGCATGTGTACTTTTGTTAGGTTCACTTTTGCCCCTGTGTAGTAGGTAGAAAAGACCTACAGATGTGATGTATCAATGCTCCTCATACCATTACTGACAGCCTTCTTAAAGTACAACTGGTAATGTAATTGGCATGTCAAATATGAGCATTCCTGATAGCTCTTGAAACGACTGTACATTAGAGCTCACCAATCCATAAAGGAGATTAAAACTCAATTAATACAGACAAAAAAAAAACCTGTTTTAATCAGTCAACCAACAAAATCTTCTCTCATGTGTCTAGCACAGAGCAACAGACTTTGGTGGATGTCAAGTAGCAAACACTTGATAAATATGACCACTATTCATAGTTCCAGGCCCACGGC